CCAGGTCGGCAAGGGCCAACCATACTGACCAAGGCAGACGAAGGGGTTGGCTCTCGTCAATCTCTGTGCGCCTCGCCCGCGTCCAAATCTTGATCCTGGAACGTCACGTTGCTGGAACGAGCCGCTGCATCCTGTGCACCGTGTCACTGCATTCATAACAAGTGTAAGGAAGGCCGCGCTGGCAACCTCGGCAACGACCTCTACGTATGATCTCGCAACCAAGATCAGTAGTGGTTAAAGCAGCCATGGCTGGAGGGTGAAAGGGCGGTGGCGGTGGCTGTCATCGCCCGGATGGCAACTGGCAAGCAAGTGAACCTTATGGTGGGAGAACTTGCAGGGCATACCGGCAATATGAGCTGATGAACAACATACATCAATGACATATACCAAGGGCCCCGGATGTAGGCAGAGTGCAACAGCCGTAGCAGAGACAGTCCTGCAATGCCAAAGTCGTCGTCGAGTACTAGTAGTACTAGTAGTGCTAATAGTACTAGTAGTACTAGTAGTACTAGTAGTACTAGTAGTGTAGTAGTAGTAGTAGTAGTAGCAGTAGAGGCAGCAGCAGTAGCAGCAGGAGGAGTAGCAGTAGTAGGTGGTAGGTGGGAGTAGGTAGTAGGTAGTACGTAGTAGGCCGTAGCTAGTAGGTGGTAGTAGTAGTAACGTATTAGTAGTAGTAGTAGTAGTAGTAGTAGGAGAAGTAGTAGAAGTTGTAGTAATAGTCGCAGCAATAGTAGTAGCAGCAGGAGCAGCAGCAGCAGTAGCTGTTGCCGTGGCAGTGGCAGCAGCAAATGCAGTAGCTCAGTAGCAGAAGTGGTTGTGGTGATGATGATGGTGGCGGTGGCGATGTTGGTGTGGGTCTGTCGTGCACTACAAGTTATGCACAATAGAAGATCGACAAGAGAGTGGCTTTGAACGACAGGAAACGGATGAAGTTGCTAACGAAGACCGTGTCGGCTGTTCATGCACAAGCCGGAATCAATTCGGAGCTGTGCAGTCATGCAACTGCAAGCAGGACGGTTCCGGGTTCAGGGCAGATCGGACGCGGAATATCCTGAATGGGCAAGTCTGTGGGCGTCGTCTGCTCCACGAGCAACGACTTCGTGTAGACCACCTGGCTTTGCAACATCGGCAGGGGCTTCATTCACGCATACATGTGACTGTTCTCGAGAAACAGCAAAAAGGCGACCGCAGCAAGAGCGCGAAGAACCTGCCAGTGGCCAAGCGAAAAACATCTCAGAAGCTGAGGCTTGAGCGAAATGCGAGTAGAACCTGGGGGCACAAGAAAAACAGCAAAGTGTGGTGTTACAGACCTAACACTTGAGAACGCTTCTACCAGTTTCCCGTCGTCCAGTGCTTGGAGCCCAGGACCAAATTGAGGTGACTTTTCTCGTCTCACCAAGAGGAAGCGCTGAATATTGATGATGGGCACAAGTTGTGAACTAGATTGGGGAACGTGGGATTTGAGTTCCTATAGAACCTTCTGGTTGATACGTTACAAAGGCTTAGGAACTCGCGGTTCGGGCATTTGGAATGATGGTCGTGTTCCAGAGGCTTTGGATGTCGGGTTTGAGGCACTCTAACCAAACTCCGCATCGGGAAGAGGTCTGCTCTCTTCTCCGCAGTCTAAACATATTCCAGCAAGAATCGTGCACGTGGCTATCTTGGGTTGGGCTTCATTCGGATCAAACCTTGCTGCTTTATTCTGCTGGGGCCGTTGCGCTGCATGCCAACGTTCTTAATTGCGGAGAATAGGAAGCGTGTCGAGGCTTTCCTCAAGATTGCTGTGCTCGGCTTCATGTATCTGCCAGCGAGAAGCGATCGCGGTGTTTCCGGCGGAATGCTGAGACTGTCCGAACCTGAGCCCAGAGCAACAATTCAACTACAATTCAAGCGCTAGGTGACATGAAGTCTGCACAGGATGAGGCAATGAGGATACCTCAGCAGCGGCTGCCAGGACCACCACCATCAACCAAAAGCCAACCCTACAATGACTACAACCACAATGCTGCCCAGATGCCCACAGGCACATCAAGACCGATCTGCGATCGATTCCTCATATGACAACAGCTGCTGACACAACACAAGACCATTTCAAGACAGGTCTTGAAGCGACGCTGCAGTGCCGGCCACAATGAACTAAGCTAAGTAGGCTGGAGCAAGACCTGCAAAGAAGCTTCTCTCCGTCGGCATCACGGGCAAGGTAGGCTGCATAGGCCTTGCAGCCAGTGAGTACTTGATTGCAACAGCCATCTCAACAGCCCCGCAACTGCAGGTCTGCGCTTCTGTGCTATCTGACGTCGCTTCCACTACCTGCGAAGATCACTCGGTGGTGGATGGTGTGAGTGGGTCGACAGTGCACGTATTCCTCAAGGAATGGGCCGGTGCCGGTCTGACTCCTCATGTGAAGTCCTACGGTCAGCGCCACGGGAATGCCCTCAAATTCCACAAGCAAGCTCGTGATCCCTCGTGTGGCCCGGCCGGGCGCCTCCACGCGGCTGACGTCCTCGGGCGGATCCCAGACCAGGTCCTTCGGCGTACACCACACGTCGGTGTGCATCCATATGCTATCATCTGCTATCCGCTGCGGCGCGGGCCATGCTGCGGCGATGCTACACTACTCTATTGTCTGGCTAAGCGGCGCCACCCAGGTCGTAGAGGTCCAGGTCCTTGCCTGGACGCATTCACGGCCAAACCTTCAAGTCCTCTGTCCTTTCGCGCTGGGTCAAGTCTAGCTAGCCCAAGAGAACTCCAACAATCAAAAACTCAAATCTGTGAAGCAAATGCATATACTAAGCACACTCATCAGCCACGGGCGCAAGCCTGAAGTTTTAAGCATCACGTTCCTGTTTCGTGCGGGCAGGTGACCCTCGAACCGAAGGTTCGAGACACTGGCGTTTGCATCAAAGATGGCCAGCGCTGCAGGGTTCGACTGCTCAGCAAAGCCTCACACGCGTCAGCAGTACATGTCCGAGCACGGCTCCAACCTATGTGTTTAGTCAGTGTGTTTAGTCTTTACTCGGCATGGCAAGCTCTCTCTGTTGCAATGCTACAATCGCAGCCCAGCTCCACAAGATAGCAATCACTGGCCAAACTCAAACAAACCAGGCACTTGACTGCAAGCATGCGGCTTGACCTGGTGTAGATGAGAAAGTGCGTGTAGTTCCCACGGTCGGTCTCTGGCAGTATCGTTATGTTGCGTGCGCCTGTCTTGACCTCCAGGGAGGATCTTCACGGAAACTGTAGTACTTCAGATCCAATCCTATCAACTGCATTCTTCTACGGACAGGCTGGCCTGAGCAATCCTGATTCTGCGGACTCATGTTATGCAAGTGCCGAGACGAACTTGAAGCGGTGCCTCTGCGTACAAAGAGCCGCGGCAAGGCAGGAAGGGGCCGAAGCCAGCATCACTGTCTTCGCTTTCGCTTGCATTCTCCACTACCTTCGAAAGTTGCACGCCAGAGTGCGCAACCCAGAAGGAAGGTCTGCTTCCATTTGCAAGACTGAGTACTTGCTGCAAGATACCATCGCTTCTTTCTGGTAGGACGGGTTGTTGTTGCCCCTCTTCGAAAGGCTCGTTTATGAAACTCGCAACTTAAGGAAATGTAAAGAGGTAAGACCAGCTAAGGCTAGCTTAGGTCAGGAAAGTCAAGGTATCGTGAAGGGAAAGCAATGGTCAAGGTATGGCATGGTACTATAAAATATATACCATGACATGACGTAACACGCGACATAATGTCATGTAGGGTGGTGTGCAATGTCACGTATGTAGTGTAAAGCAGGGCCGCATGGGCAAAACCTGGTGCAGCATTTAGTGCAGTGCAACGTATTGATACAGTGAAATTTAATTCGCTCGAAACTGATTTAGTTCAAATTTTACACACCATGCGTGGCAACACAGCGCAGTGCCATGCACATGAAAGCTTCATGTCGTCTAGCAGAAGCGCGTTTTATCATGGGTGCAACGCAAAGGCTCAAACTACGGATCTGCAGCCGCCCGGGTGATGTGCTTCCTCGTTTATAAATTTCTCGTCAGTCTTTGCAGCACCACTAGGCACCATAGCCCTTAAACCAGTCGGGACGTTTGCGTCAATTGGCCTTCTGCCAAAAATGAGGCACCCAATTTATGCGGACCGCGTTGGCGTTGCCGTCTGCATGTTGGGCTTCAAAATCTTCTGGGGCCAGCAAAACATGTACGCCGTGAGAAACCAGCATCATCTGCTAGGTGGTGCAATGTCGGTACCAATCTGTCTTGCTCGGGTCCATATACAAGATAGCAGCTTGATGACACCCGCCTCTGCTATTAGCCGCAACGATGCCACCGACAACATTCTGACATTCCAATGGTCTAGAGGCTTGATGCGACAGGTCTTCTGCAGTGACGGCACTGCTTACGAAAACATTGGATCAACAAGTGAGAGTTTCGGAGTGGCTGACTGCCGCAGAACCAGCACCAGTACTACAGTGAGAATAACGGTTCTCTGAGGGGTTGGTAATAAAACATTCGTGAATGGGGGCGAGGGGGTACGAACTTAGGATTGGGCCGAAGCGAAGGGACAAAAAGAAAGTGGTCGTCTTATTTAGGATTAGGGATTGGGAAGGCCTCACAGGGGCGTGGACAGAGCCTCCCAAGGCGCTCGCAGGGCCTTTTCAGTCGAGGGCCTCTCAGGCCTTCCGGGCCGAAACAATGATACGGCTAAGGGCAAACTAAGAATGAGCCGAACTCGCAGCAAACTCATCCCACGGGTGGTGCTACCTGAAGTTACTTGGTCCCCCAGGTAACCTCGACAGCAAAACCCCGTTAAGCACATCGAACTTCACTGGTGCTATGATACCCTGAACATCGTCCGTTCCAAGGCAATGGAGAAAAGAGAACCAGGCGGCCCTGGCCGTGGATGTAAATGCATAGCAACGCAAAAGATATTTCGGCTTGGAAAAACCTTTTCTCATCCAGAGAATCACTGTAACGGGTCGGCGATATCCTCTGACTGACCACAGGAGTCTCAGATGACTGTGTGCTGCCTGGCAGCCAGGCCATCTGACTCGTAGGAGCAGACGAAGCCACTGGAGGAGTTGAGCAGGTCGGACGCCCAGTAGATGTCCTCATTGACCGCATGCGGATTTGTCGTGCTCTCCAGCCCAAAAGAGAACAGCACAGAAAGCAACGCACGAATCTGCGGTTTCTTCAGGGCCTTTGACGAGAACAGCTCATAGTTCCACACAACCCGCTGCATCCTGCCCAGGATTCCCAATCTGATTGAGCTTGTGCGGAGGTTCGCGCCAATGTCTAATATTCTAAATTAGTCTACATCGCAAACTTGAACGGTTCGCAGCCATGCAGTCTACCAAACAGATCAGCCAACAATAAAGATCTCGACCCGGCCACATAGCGAATCACTTGGGCGGTGTCTGCAGGCTCCGCCCAGGACAGGACACCTTGCATGCTTACGGTCTTCGAAGCCGCTGAACAAGTCCCTGGGAGCAGCTCAATAAGTTTAGCAGTTTAGCTTCGATGTTTAGGGCTGTAAGCTCCGGCTTTGAGGCAAACGGAGTCCTGTGCCTTGGTAAAGCATCAAGGATTTGTTCTGCGATTCTCTCCATCATAGGAGAGCAGGGCGTCTTAGGCTTGTTGAGTTTTTGATCAGGAACGAGCGTTATAGTTTCCTTTGCCTTCGGTGCTGCTGCTGGCTCATAGTTTGATGGATCACTGTAACCTGCCTCCAATCTGAAAGAAGTCCAAGTCGAAGTCCTGCAGGTCCACCGCCGACCTTGAGTCTGCTTCGCATCTTCCGTGTTTTAGATGCACAGAAGCTGGTAGCTTTCGCAGGGATTACAGAGCCCTCATGGCGTTACTGGGAAGAGTATAACGATAATGCTGCTTGGTGGTGCCATTCATGGTGGTGATGAAGAAGAAGAAGAGAATCATGTTGCGATCATGATGATGATACTGATTTTAGAGGAGGAGGGCAACGACGATAATGGCATTGGTCATGGCGATAGCAAATACGCGTAAATAACCTTGTCACCGTAACAGCCACCATCAGTCGCCGGATCATGTTTTAGGAGCACCACAATATGCGCCGCTGCTATCACGAAATGCTAGAAATGCCACTGCAAGTGCCGCTGCTGCTGCGGCTGCTGCT